CTTTTATGAAATCTTTCATCGCCGATCGTTACTAGGTTCCGGTATAATTTTCGGGGTGTATAGGTATTGTATTGTATCTCGATGTTTTTTTTTGTTTTGTTTTTTTTTAATCGAATTGGTTCTCGAGGCGCGAAATAATGAAGTCAGAGGTAAACTGGGAAATAACAACGACCAGGACTGACGTTTTCTCAAAGACAAATTGGCTCCTTGAGCGCAATAAGACGAATAATCGGCAGACCAGGAAAACGCGGGATTCAATAGATTCGAGAGAGCCCCAATGGCTGTAAGTATATAGGTACACGCGGAAAAAGGGGGCGAGAACAGCTTGAAATAAAACAGCAAACGTTAATCACGAAAGTTTTGAGCGCAGTGCGTTGAATGGCCTATAGCTCCCTGCCTTTTCTCTCTTAGGAAAAGTATTCCAACGGAGGCCGTGCAAAAGTTGTATACCGCGAGGTGAGGAAGATAAAACCAGCGGCAGCGTTGGCGTGGAGAGAAAGAGAGTAAGAGGAATAAAAAAAAAAAAAAAAAAAATCGCGCCCAGGGAATTTAGTTGGCGAGGAATTTTCCCGCTGCGCTCGCAATTTGTCCAACTTGTCTGTTTGCAGGACACACGCGGCTGGCGGCTTTGGTCGGCGCGCACTGGCATACCGAGCTTCTGGGAACTTGACGCGAATCTTTCAATTTAGTTTTTCGGATTTTTGTGGCCACACGTGGGAGGATCATCGCTGCATTTATCCCTTTTTTCACCTGCGATGAATTACTTTGTTCCATACCTGAATACAAATGACACTTTGTGCCCCCGATGGCCAACCACGACGCGTATTTGGCATTCCACAACGAAACCGACGATGAAACGTTTTACGAGGGGCTGAAATTGAATTTACGGGGTCAATGAAGCTAGTTTGATTCCCTCTCGTCGTGAATAAGAGAGGAGGAGCAAGGTTAACTCGATCCTGAAATATGATCCTTCTTCTTGATTTATCGGGCATTAACGGCATCATTGCAGCCGTGGAGGGCCCCGAGCACGTGCAGGGCATATGTGGGGGTCTGAAACTTGCAGGCCGGCATCAATGATGCGCAGAGCCCGGGTCAACTCGGCTTGAAACTTTAACGGTGCAGCGACGTATAGAGGAAAGCTCTTCGAATAGCTTCTGGACGTGTGTGTACACGCGGTGCACGTCTGCTGTGGTGCTTCGAATCGAGAGCCTCCTTGTGGTGCAAGTTTTTTTTTTCCAAAGCCGCCTGTGTGTGCTCGAGAGCTTCACGTGCTCCATTGGTGTCGGACGGACGTGCTGAAGTACGGGCCTCGGGGAGCATTTCTCTCATCCTCTCTCGCGGCTCGATTTTGGAACTAACTTGGGGTGCTCCTGGAATAAGTATATACATATATATATAGAAAACGGATTTTGTTCACTTTTTTTCAAAACAACGTAGCAAAAAACAATGGAAACATTTAATCATGAGGTACATTTTTGACTTTATCGTGTCGAATATTCATCGGCAAGTGTTTTATTTATTTTTATTTTTATTTTTATTTTTACCTGAATAAATGGTAAACACTTTGCACGAACATCAGCTGTCAGTTTTAAAACAAAACATGGAATGGAAAAAAAAAAAAAAACATTCAATGGAAATAACAGTTATTTTTCAAAAACTCAATTGAAGCGTTTTATTGCAGTCTATAATATGATGAGCAGCCCCTATTTAATTTGAACACGCGGAAAAGGTATTAATAAATTGTGACCTTTGTCACGTTTGATACACCAAATCCAAGTGTCTAATAGCAACTATGTATTAAAATATCAGTTACTAGTACATGTCTCCTATTATTTAGAGCTATTTGTTTTTTTTCAAACTGTTTTCTCATAACGTAACTTAATGTGCCCTTAATTATACTCTTGACGTTTTAACGCAAATGTTACTCATATTTATGTTTAACTGTATCTTCATCGTAGTGTAACAACAACAAATAATTTATGGCCTTCTTATCAACTCTATATTAAACTTTTTTAGTACTCAACAACGGTATTTTAAAATTAAATTTTTAATGTATATTTTTCTATTCTAATATAACTAATTCACTTATTCAACAGATGTTAAGCTGGTATACTGGTATAAGAACTGGAAATAAGTTTTTGCTTAACATACTTTTTAAAATAAAAGAATAAAACTTTTCAAAACAAGCATTTATTCATTGAACTACAAAGTACAACAAACATCAAAATCTTTTCTGTGGACAAATGATTTGTCGATGATGATAACCAACAGTGTCGAGTGCTTGAGTTAAAAAGAAATCATCTTATACTTTTTAAGCTCTTTCATACACTTGATGCAATAAACTCACGGTAGTGTACGACATTTTTATTATCTGTAAAGTAAAATTATGCATAATCCGATGGTTGATAAAAGACATGTTACTTAAAAAAATAGTATTTTATGTAACGAGACAGTGCAACGAATTAATTTTGCTTGATCAATGATAGGCGAGACAAAGATATAGTCCAACCCAAACCAACAATGATGGCGTATTGGATATTTGAGGAGGTTTGGGAAAAAATTCAAAATGTGCAACCGTGTTAAAAATATGTATGTTATACTTGAGTACATGAGGAGGGCACATGAATTTTTCAGATTTCTTATCAGGAAAATTTTCGAGAAAATAGTTATTTAATATTGACAGTTTCACAAGGTCTCTTCCGAGGAAACACGTTGAGGTTACCTTTTAATTGAAAGTATAGGGTAGATTATAAGTGTGTTGGATTAAAAAAAAACGTTTTCAAAGATACCTTACGAGTCGCTTGAACATAAAAAATGCTCGACAAACAAAATCAAGCCTTGCCAGATATTCTTAAAAAACGTAATCAATCACAGTCACACAGTTTTAAGTTTGTCGAGTGCAAAAGGAGGTAAGCGGTAAAGAGGGTACATAATATATGCGCAGGTCGGTGGGACTCACCGTTTCTCGCCTCTCGGAATGATACTCTCAAACCTCCTTAAAATCTAAATTACGCATTCTATTTCTATAATATAAACAATAACATATTTTGTATACCCATAAGAACGTGTTTAGAGTTTGCGGGCACAATCCGTGACAGGAAATACTTTGAGCTTTTTTATTGCAAGTCATCAAAAAAAACAAAAATCTCCTTTCACGTGTTTCCATCGAAATCCAATCGCTTTCGTAGATAGCATTCGATATTTCTTGACTCTGTTTTTTTGAAAAGTTATACAACAATAAATATCAGTTTTTCTAAGAATGAAGAAGAACGAATCTTGAAAGTCACCTTGCACATTAATTGATTGCCAAACCAACAGTAGATCAAAACTTGCTGCAAAGTGCCCAAAGAGAAAACGCAAATCCAAGTGAAATAAGAGCTAAAGAGTTTCTGCTACAGATTGCATGATTTCATGTACGTGTAAAATAACTAGAATTTTTAAAGGCATGTAAATATTATTTCTTACCTTGGAAGCTTGAAATATGCCCGAACAAATACTTGCCATGGCAAATAAAAAAAATGGTATGACAACTCCAGTGACAAAAGATTCCACTTTTTTGGTCACTTCCCGAATCAAGACATTATGGATGACACAACCCCTCATGCCAAGCACATCACCACGACTCAATTTTTTTATTCTATGGGCATTTAACTCCAGCTGTCCGGTTATTACGATGAACAGTCCAACAGACATTGTGTCGAGGGAAAAGTGGATGACAGAGATGCAAATAACGGACACAATATTTAAAAAAATTATAAAATATAAAACTTGTGGACTCGAAACATTGAACCATTGGTAACTTTCAAACAATACGTGTTGGTTTCTGATTGACTCTGATGCCAAAGAGTAAAAATAGACTGATTGGCTGAATGAGGAAAAACACAAGAAATATACAAAGAGCCACTTCGAAGTTCTAGCATGTTTTGCCAATATCTTCGCCTCCTCGTCATTGTTGGCTTTGCAGTGATACATATTTAATATTCTTATGATTTCAATTAAGTTGTCCCGGTGATATAAAAAATTAATTATCTTAAAGCAGAGCACCAAGAACTTCATAGCCACAAAATGAGACTCTGTCAGGTCGCCGATGTTACTGTTCTTCAGAAAAACTTGAGCAATCACTGTAATTGTTGCGTAAATGACTGTTGATATTACACCGAACCGGTACACTTTTCTCGCAAAACCGAAACTTTCATTTTCCTCGTACCAAAGACCAAAAAGTCGTAAAAGATTAAAATTCAGCGGCAGCACGTCCATCTCAGCTGAATGTTTTGGCTTCAATGAACAATACAGTTTCTTGAGGTGTGTGACTACGTAGGCAACTGATAATAATTAGATATAATTGAATTTTAATTGCACTTGGTATGTAGAGCTACCCCTATATTTTGGTAAATGAAAGAACGCCGTGATCAATGATAGTATAGGTATTAATGATGACCCTTGCGTCATCGATGTGTACCGCACAGTAGACGAATTAAAAACAACAATTTCTGAGCGACCCGATGAAAAAGAATCAATATAGCGTATTACTTCCCATCATACTCATATCTCATAAAAAAAAAAAAAAAAAAAAAAGTTGACCTTGTAATAAAAGGTTAAATAGACAAAACATAGTGATAGGCCTGCGACGTGCGCGTCAGTTCTTTTTTTTATTTTCGCTTTTAATGACCATTTTTCCTGATAATGGATCAGTGAGTTGATCTATTTATTATACCAAACTAACCTGCAGAGGCTAGTACTAATTACAATGTTGTATGTCATAATTGAACTTCTAATGTTCATTAAAATATTGAATTACTACCTATTTATAGCCTTGTATAGTCCTTGAAACTGCATTGTCCATTAAGACTTTTAAAAACTTACATCCGAGATGGACGTGCTGCCGCTAAACTTTTATTCTTTGCGCCTTTCTGGTGTCTGGTACGAGGAAAACGAAAAGTTCGGGTTCGCGAAAAAACTGTATCGGTTCTTTGTAGTTGCAAGTATTTTTTACTTTACAGTAACACTAGCTGCTAAAGTTGCTCTAGAAAACAGTAACACTAAAGATCTAACTGAGTCGCTGTTTTTGGCCATGGCATTCTGGAATATCTGCTTCAAGATTGTAAATTTCTCAAGTCACCGGGACAACGTGATTGCAATTGCAAGGGAATTAAAAATTTCGCACTGCCAAGCCAACAATGACGAGGAAGCAAAGATACTAGAAAAATACGTAAAAAGATCAAAGTGGCTCTTCGTTTTTCTCATGTGTGCAACCATCAGCAGCGCAGCAACTTTTTTCTACGCATTTGTGTCAAAGGCAATCAACAGCGAACATTTACCACTCAAGACTTACCAATTTTACGATGATTCAAATTTACAAAGCGATTGGACTTCAATGGAACCACGTGAAAGGAGATTTTTGTTTTTTTTGATGACTTGCAATAAAAAAGCTCAAAGTATTTCCTGTCACGGATTGTGCTCGCAAAATCTGAACACATTTTTATGGGTATACAAAATGAGTGATCGTTCATATGAAACTAGAAATAAACTAACATGTCTTTCATCAACTATCTGATTATGCATCACTTAAATTTGTAGGTAATCAAAATGTCTTACACTACTGTGAGTTTATTGCATCAAGTCAATACAAGAACTTAGACAACACTGCACTACATTTTTTTTTAATAGATAGGACGTCATTGTTTGTCGAGAAAAGGGTATACTGCGCAATGTCTATTATTATATATTTTTTCCATTTTACTTTATTGTATTCAAAATTAAAAAAGTGTAAGTTATTAATACTTTAATAAATTATTCATTTTACAGTTGTAACTTGACTAGAGAGATGTCCTTGAATCTCATAATTAAATAAACTTTTTCTCTTGCTGTGTAATTCAATGAATCAAATTTTTTTGTTTCGTATTCTTTTTTTCTTCAAATTTGGCATAATGTCACGTAAAAACCTATTTCCAGTTTTGGTTCTAATGTTCCTGAAAAAACCCCTGAGAAAATGATTCCGTAGATATAAGTATAAAAGAACTTACAGTTTAATTACTGCCTTTTTTCTCTTTACATACAAAATTTAGATGGGAAACCCCTTTTTTTAGTAACCAATGAAGAATACACGTGCTTATATGTGTTGACTACTTCGGTGGTGGAGAATGTATTCAAGTATTTACTTGCGTACGTGTTTTTTACCGTAGATTCATGGATTAATACAAGTTGGTAGGAAAATTGAATTTAAACGTAATTAGCGATTAGACTTTTCGAAAAAACAAATTAATGAAATATACGAGATTATTTGAAGAAATGTTAATTAAAAATTTACTTTACAATAATTAATTATTTATTCAAAAAGAATCTATTTTCAGAAAGTACCAATAGATGTTATGGCTTCGACTTCTTGCTTGGTTTTATTAATTTCCCGTATTTCCACATTAAACGCTGTCATGTGAAAACTACGGACGGGCTAATACAAGTTGAAAATAAAAAATTTTTTATTTCACAGAACCTAATAATTTCTGAAAAAAGTTTGACTTCAGCTTCTCACATAAATGAATAACGTATTGTTTGCACTGTACAGTCATAAACTACAATTAATTCTCCAAAACAGTGACGATTGGAAACTTTTGTACGTGAAAAAAATTCCATGTCGTCATCACCAAACATTCGCATTGTGAGCGCAAAAATAATAAAATGAACGTATGAAACGCGTTTCAACTTGCTGATGAATAAAAAAAAAAAATAAAAAAAAAAAAAAACACTACCGCTCGTCTATCTTTCATATATTTCAAAAGTACGATTATAAACGTACAGCAGGAGCGCACAAAAATTAAATTCTTCGGCCAATGGTTCCCGCGTTTTTCCACGAATCAGCGGATAAAAACACGAAAGTAACTATTGATACAAAACGATCACAAAAATATTTTTTATCAACAAAATTCCACCGACGCAATCCAGACGCAATCCACACATCCTCATTTCGCGAAAAAGCAAAGAAAACGAAAACTGGCATCTTTCCACGGAATTAAAATGTATGGCCGTCCCGACGTATCGAGAGCCGCACGCAAAACGAGGAACTGCAGAGATAGCGCGGACACGCAAAAAAAAAAGTAACGACGTACGTGTGCGCACGAAAAAAACAGGGGTGGCTGCGGAAAAGAAGAGAAGAGCAGATAACGCTGTCCTGTGTGTACGAAAAAAAAAAAAAAAAAAAAACGCACCACGGAAGCGCAGCGACGACAACTCATACGCACCCCCTGGACATCCGTTTTGGGCGAGGTCTCCCCCGCTGCCAATGTCAATCCGTTCTCCCCGGAATTTATGGTGAACGATGCATTACGTAAATTGTGAGCGATGCGTCGCTGCAGCGTCAGAGAGGTAGATTGAAGGTATAGAGGTCCGCTACAGCGTTGCACGGGGAGTACGTGAGTGGTGCCAGGAGGAAAGAAAGCCCTGTTATTTCTCCCTCTATTCTCGGATCGTTTAAACATTAAAACGTTGCCTTTCTTCCGCACTGCTGCCACTGGTTTGCTCTCGAGTAGCGAATTTTCTCCAGGTGCCAACGCTGCTGCTCCACGATACGGTGCAGAAGGTGGTGGGCCCGGGAGCGCGAGGAAACATAGACTAATCATGGCGAGGGTGCAGTGGTTAAATTTTCAAGCACGTGGATATGAAAAGGGAGAAACGGCCCAGCTCGAGCTAGCTCGAAATTTTTCAACGTTATTAGGCTGGAAGAACAAGCGGTTTTTTATCGTTTGTTACCGTTGCGTCTTGCGGATGGGGCGTGAGAGCTGGGATTTAGTAAATGCATTTGAAAAACTTTTGAAATATTTTTTTCGTACCCCGGTTTTTCTCATCCGCGGGTGCAGATGCACGTTTTCCCCGGCAAATCGAATGGCCGAACCTGTGGCGTCATCAGTCTCCTTTCACCGCGCCGGAGACAATGGAGCTCTTGATTCTCTCGCTACGCGATTCTGTACCGCAGCGGGCACAAAGATCTATGCACACACACACATGCGCTGCCTGGACGAAAAATGTCCTTTCAAGTGTACCCAGGATGAGAAAAAAAAAAAAATGTCCAGCCACACGATGTTCATGCGTACACGGCAGCCAGGAAGTTCTCCCTTTATGCTCACGAGACCAAAACATGTTTGTTGGACATGCGGACAGGCTAATTCGGTAGTGCGTGAGATTGGCTTCTTTGTTCTGGACTGCTGGTGCACGCCCTCTCTCTGCCTCGTTCTGTGCGTCTGTATCGCCATGCACCTATACGTACGTGGCGTAGAAATTCGAGGAAATGCTTGTTACGTATCGCAAATGGGGTGCCCTGCACCCCCGTGAGCCTCCACATGTACGAGCTTTCCTCGTTTCCCGAGAATTGGACGGCGAGTTACTCCAGGCTAGGGTTCAAGGGTCGAAAGGTGCACTGTGTTTCAACGTTATTTGTCCTTCATTGGGTATATTACCGGGTAATTCTGTCACCTTGGTTGGTATTTGGAATGGTGTTTTTTTTTTTTTTTTTTTTTTTTTTTTTTTTTTTTTTTTTTTTTTTTTT